GGGCCAAAATAAAGACTTCTGTTAATTTATGTCAAAATCCAAATAAACAACCAAACATTCGTAGGAGTTTATCAGTGATGATGTTAGGATATGAAAATAATCACTTAACATGCACTTTATACATTTTGTCCAAAATTTACTTGGTAGATTTGAGTTTAAAACTTAAATTTGTTTAAATAATTCTGATTCTGAGAAAAAAGGAAAAAAAGATGTTAAAATCAAAATTTTGAGAAAAAAGTCAGAATTCAATAAATGTTTTTTAAAAAATCCCATTAAAAAAATTCAACATGTATACAGTGTAGTAGCTGTAAAAAATAATTATGTGCTATGGTTATATTTTATTTTTTTCTAATATTTTAGCACTTTAGATGCAATGTAAAAAAAAAATTCTAATTTACAGTGAAATATTGGCAGCTGTGGTTACCAAACTTTTACATATAAATACCGTATTTATACGGTAAAATTTTAGATGCCGGTATTTTAGTGGGTTTTTTTAGCGTTGGAGTAACTGTCATCAAATGAATTATTTCCCCTTGCAGATTAATAAAGTCTTTCTGATTCTGATTTAAACATTTCTGATGTTTTAAAATGGTAAACTTTGAGTTTAAAGTCAGTTTGTTTACTGGCGTTTAGCAAAAATGTAGAAAATATAAGTTTCCCAGCTAAACTTTAGTAAACGGTCAGATTGAAGAACATTTCTTTTTTTAAGTTGAATAAAGCTGCAGAGAGGAACCCGCCTCTCAGTCTTTTGGTTAACATGTTTATTCAGTATTTATTTAAACTGGAGGACTTTTCTAATGCAGTTTGGACGTCTGGGTGGATCATTATTCAGCTTTTTGACATTCCAAGTTGGTGGGAGTGTGTAAGATGAGTCACATGTTTCATCTGCTCGACCTGCCTCTGACTGTCAGACATGTTTTCAAATTCCCAACTTCAACTTCCTTTCATCTCTCTGGCTTTGAAGCCTGGATTTTATCTTCCTGCTGCCCATCGAACATTTGGGTTCAGGTGAGAAGTAGAGTTTCCTGCGCAACCAGCAACATCTGCGTTTCCATTTATCATGTCAACAAACTTATTCACGTGTGATTTTAATTGTTTTTCTTACTTAATGGGAACAGCACAACCGTGAAATTATGTTTTTTCAGAGTTTTGCGCGTTTTGTGATGGAAACTCGACTAAGAATGCAGCAAGTGGTTTCTGGATGGTAAGTCAACAACAACAGCAGCCATTGTACAGCGCATACAGCGGTAAAACCAGCTGAACAAACATGCTGGAGCTCAACTTGGGTTGCTAGGTAACAAACTGGGCTTGGCTTGGGTTGCTAGGTAACGGTGCAGTGCCTGAAGTTACATTGCAGAGGTTTTTGAAACGGCTCATTTTCCAGACACCAAAATACAAACTTACTGCCAAAAAAAAATAGCTGGATAAAAATACTGCAATATGACAAGTTAACAAGCTTCTTCCATCAATCAATAAATAAATAATAAAAGCCTTTATCTAAAAACATATGTTACATATTTAAAAAATATACTTTATTGATCCCAAAGGGAAGCTAAGTAATATGAAATAATTATAATTAAATGATAGCATATTAAATAATATTTAAACAATTAAAAGCCATATATCACAACAGTTCACCATGGTACATAAAAGAACATGGGTTACTAAACATGTTAAAAATTTAACTTGTCATTCAAGAAATAATGTTATTTTGTTTTATAACAAGTAAATATCAACTAAGAAACAAATAAGTTGCCGGATAATTAATGGACAGGAAGCAACGGCTTTAAAATTATAAAATTAGCAGATATCTAAGAAATTAAACTAATGTGGTAATTTTTTTAGATGGACCTAGCTTCTTCTAGGATTAATCAGTCTGACACACGTGGCGCGTTGGACAACAGCTGAAATGTTGATATCTGCAGCTTGAATTAAATTAGTTTTGTTTCACAGGAACTTTGGTAGGAATGTTTTCAACATGCACACAGTGGATGTGTGCAGTCAGGTAACGAAACCCAGGACTGTCCAGCAAACAGGAAGTGGCTGAGAGAGCCCCACCGCTGCACTTGGTGTTGGCTGGACGCTGGAAATCATCTGAGTTTATAGAAACGTGTTGATGGGCCCCTCGCCTCACCGTCAGCCCGCATCGATTTCTGGTCCTCGAGTTTCTGTCTCAGGAAACTCAGTCGTTTGACGGTCACCTCGAGCATTAGGTTCATTTTTTATCGTGTTGGAAAAGATTTTGTTCTGTTTTCTTCAGTTTGCTTCACAGACTTTAAAACACTGTAAAGCAGTGGAGGAGAAAGGGTTTTATTTTAACAATACTACAGACGTGAAGTTTGTTTAAATGTGTTTATTTATTCCTTTAATTCATTTGTAGTCTAGTTGTTTCTCCAGACATTTGTTGGTGTTTTAAGTTCTGGCTGCTCTTGGCAGTTGGTGGTCACCATGGCAACCGGTAACCGATGGCTCCGCCCCCTTTTGTTGCTGCTCTGTACCTGTTGAACCTGTTAGGATCAGCTGTGGGTGTTTTTCCAGAGTTATTATATTGTAACATATTTTTTGGACAAATTTAATCATATACAGCGCTTCATGAGTAATTTTGCCGTGTTCTGTATATGTTTTTAACTGTTAACATTAAAGTTTCATAAGTTTTTTTATTGAAAGAAACTGGTTTGGAGAAACTTTGATTTTGTTGTTTTTTGGTACTTATATGAATTATTGTCGTTTTGGTCCTTAAACTACCAAAATTTCCACTTAACTTTATGGTTTGGTCCTTCTGATGATGTAAATTTTATAAATTAAATGATTGATAATCAGTTACTCAGAAATTGAGGAGACTTTTTACCAAATATTTTTAAAATCTTACTTGAGTACAACTTTTGGATACTCTCCCCACAACTAGACCCATTTCAGCAAAGTACTGAAGTACAGAAACAAAGTACTGCAGGATGCTTCATGCATAAACAAACAGAACACATCTGTTAACTTTAGTCCTTTCCATTATATTAGAAAGAAGTTGAGTAATTGTTGCAGGCACTAAAGACTCTGTTCCCCTTTCAGCCGTTTCAAAAACAAACTAATAACCTCTCAGCTCCAGGTGTTTCATGACGCCAGCATGGAGCGCCGTAAATCCTTCTGCAGTAATTATTCTGTTGACAGGCAGCAGTTAGCCAGTCGGAGTGTTTTCAAATGGAACCCGTATGAATCGTCTTCGCTCCCGACAATTTCCTACCTGCCAAACAACACAGGCCCGTTGAAACGAGGAATTCATACTTCGCAGGTTCCTTCATGCATATTAAAGCTCGACCCTGACAGAGTATCTGGCCATTACCGCGCGTCGCGCTGCCAATTTTCCAGGCGGCAGCTTAATGCCGCATCAGTGGATTAATATTTTTGGAAAGAGGGGGGAAGTCTAGTTTGCTGGTGAGGCTGCCGCTGCTGACTCCAGCAGACGGTTATTGATCAGGTTTATGTTGTACAGAGCCGGGTGATTACTCTCAGACAGGCAGAAAACAAAAGGTTCATAAACGGAGAGCGAAAGAGCGAGAGGAGGCAAAGCAGAAATTATACAGGAAGACAGATCGTTCTGTGCTGCTGAGAGTTAAAAACAGACCGGGGTGAGTTTGTGCTGCACCGATTTAAAGTTTAAAACAAACCAAAGTTTTATTTTTCTGTTTTTGACCTTTAAAAAACAGAATCTGGGTCGATAACTTTTCTGCTTTTTACACTCACTGCAAAAACACAAAATCTTACCAATTATTTTTTATCTAGTTTCTACTGCAAATATCTGAGTTTACTTGAAATAAAAACAGAGTAACTTTCAGCTTCTATGCAACAGAAATCTGGAATAAACTTCCAGAAAACTGTAAAACAGCCGAAACACTGAGTTCCTTTAAATCAAAGTTAAAACCCACCAGTTTAAAGCTGTTTTGATTAATAGTTACTGGAACACAGATCAACATATTTGATGTGTGTTGGTTATTTTTGATGATGACTCTCGTCAAAATGTAATGTTTGGTTTCTAAATTGACTTTATGTTGTTTTTATGACTTTTTATTTCTGTTTTGTTACGTAAAGCACTTTGAACTGCTTTGTTACTGTAAGGTGTTATACAAATAAACTTGACTGATTGATTGACTAAAAGTGACCAAAGATAAATAACATTTTAAAGTGAACACTGCAAAAACACAAAATACTACAAATTATTTTGACCTAGCTTCTAGTGCAAATATCTTTGTTTACTTGAAATAAGACAAAACTAACTTAGGAGTAACTTTTCATACCTGAGCTTGTTTTAAGTCAATAATTCTTCATATTGATATGAAAGTATTAGATCGTTTGGGAGAACATTTATATTGAGACATTTTAAATTTAAAACAAGCTGTTATATCTTGCTGATAAGTTACTTGTAAGATATATTTGTCTTATTTCCAGAACATAAAGATGTTTGCACTGGAAACTAGATAAAAATACTTTTCTGTTTTTGCAGTGCTGTAGGTTTAGTACTTTGGAAAACAGAAAGTTTCTTTAATAGAGTAATAACTTGTATGCACTGGGGCTTACATCTTCTTGCTAAATAAGTTTGTCCATGTTTATTTCCAAAGGGTTTTCCATTTTAACTCAACATTTCTGCTGCTTTTCCATTTCAGGCAGCGGTTTGCTGGCCGTAAGCTGGCATGAAGTGTAACAAAGAACAGAGCAAAGGTTTGTTTACTGTGATTAGTAAGCAGCAGTGTGTTTCAGGTCCAGCCATTTTCCTCAAAGTGTTTTTTGTTTTTCACAGAAAGGACGTGCTCGAGTTGCCTTGTGACAGTAAATTGGTTTCAAATTGGTAAAACAGTGACTAAAGCCCGCTCCGTCAGCTTCTGAGAGCAAAATCAGGTCGCCTTATTTCTCCCCTCAAAAATACAAATATTCACACAATAAATGCAAAGGCACCAAACACATGTGATCGCCTTGAGGCGAAGTGTTAAAGGCTGATGTGTGAGAAGCCTTACCATCGAGCTCCTCCACAGAGATGCTGGCCAGAACGTCGCTGTCGCTGTCGGACAGCGAGCGGCTCAGGTAGTTCCCCTTGTAGAGCAGACCTGCCGTCACATGGTGGAACGGCATCTTCTCTCTGGCAGGCGACACAAACACGCAGTCAGACGGCTGCACACCCAGCTCCTCTGTTAATCACACTGTTAAAAGTCATCCCCTCCATTAGTTGACATAACGTTTTTATATAAGTTACTT